TACCGTCTCCCAGATGGGAGTGTTATGAATTGAGAATGAAGTGGGTGTGTGGTGATGTTCTTTGCCACTCTGAGAACTGTTTAATGATGTACGCTATACACTTTAAGAATTACACTTGAGGTTATTTAACTTAATAGGGTTAAAATAAACTATTTAGGATGAGATCTTTCACCATTTATAATGGGCAGCTCACCCACAACGTCAGCTCTTCAGCCTCCAAAAAAACGTACCAGTTATTTCCTGAGGGTGGAAGAAAATACATCTTAAATAACTAAAAATAACACTTTGGTGTAAAAAACCATCCCTTTCTTTGTTCTGTTTACAACGTAAAGCTATAAACTGGGTAATTATTCAAACACATGCATACCCCCAGGAACTCAACTCTCCTTTGTAAAATAAAATTCAGATTGTAAAGCTCAAACTAGCCTCAATTTCAACAGGGAATGTTAAGTTCAGTCTTACAGTTAGTGAATAACTAAGGTTACATTTTAATCAATGACGTGGGATCTGCACTGATCCTCATGCATTGTGGTGGCAGATCCATCCATTCAGAAACTTTCCGACTGCCCTGTCCAATTCACGGTCACAGGGGAGACAGAGACGGTCACGGCAACCTACCGGCACAAGGTGGGGTACAGCAGTTTGGGGGTGCAACGTAACCTCAGAACAGCTCAGATCCGCACACAAAAATTAGCAAGATCAATGCAGCAATACATTCTGGCCCACTGCTGCATCATAACCCCCAAGCAGGGCTGCACAGCCTTGCACCCAACGTTTCAATACCTCCTAAAACCTCTACAGCCAACTCAAAACACTCACTGGACTGTACTGGTGTTTAACTCCAGGATCTGCACATCTATGGGGTAGGGCTGCTTCCCTGTGTGGAATTGAACTGGAAATGTAATGCACTCCACTGTCTTCATGTAATCCTTCTGTGCATCAGTCAAGCACACAATAATACTATGGGGAAAGCTTATCTGATGCGGGACTTTTCATCACAGTGGCTGTCATGTCCTCGGGATTATTGTCAAGATTAAAGTGTCGCGCGTTGCCCTTTGTTTTATGAGAGAGAAAGAAAAACAGCCCCATCTACCAAATGTTTTGTGTCTTACTGGCAGGGAAGAGCTGAAGAACTGGGGTTTCAGGAAAAACAAAACAAACACTAACAGCAGTGCTGCCTGGACACCAAGAGAAAGGACCAGAGGAGACAGTTTTTGTCCTCACTCGAGTAGTCAATTAAACAACTAACCTAATTATCCTCTACATCTGAGATATATATATTTACAGTAGGATTTTTAAGGTATATTACAGTTGGTGACACAAGACAGCCACTTCATTAAAGGAGCAGTTATCCATAAATCACCTCAGTGCCTGGTTAGAATAATTCACAATTACGCAGCTAATTAAATAATTAGACCGACTGTGTAATGAAGAACGTGGGTGGAAGAGTAACGAGAAGATGCCAGGCCCTCTAGGAGCTGGGCCTGAGATCCCTCGTGTACAAGAGGGATTCAGAGAGCAGAACTCAGCCCTGGTACAGGCTGAACACTCTCTTCCACCTGCTGCTACAACCCTTTAATGTACTGTTTTCTGCACTCAGTCCTGGGCATTATATACACTGCCTGAAAACGTTAGGGTATAGTCACCAGGAATGTAGGAAAAAGCTGTCTGTTCAGCTTGCTTACGACATTTATTGTGTTAGCAGGCGATCCTCTTTAGATGTGTTGATGCTGCTGGGAATTGTCCCGGTCAAATTTCCTCATGGCCACCCAATAATCCCCGTCTTTAAACTAGCTTCATCACTCTGCCCTCCTCCCCACTTCACTGGTGTGTGGGGGAGAGTACTGGTGCACTCTGGCTGCTGTCGCATCATCCAGGTGGGGCTGCACACTGGTGGTGGTGATGGAGGGGATCCCCATTACCTGTAAAGCGCTGTGAGTGGAGTGTCCACAAAAGCGCTATATAAGTGTAGGGAATTATTATTATTATTAATTATCATCATCCAGGTGAGGGTTACACATGAGTAGTGGTGGAGGGGAGCCCCCATTGTCCGTAAAGTGCTTTGCATCGAGTGTCCAGAAGTGTGTTGTTCCGCCATGAATCCAGAGAAGATCAAGATGGTTCTGAATCCTAGAAACTGCTACAAAGCTGATCTGAGAACTTATAAAGGTTCAGTTCAGCTGGCAGGTTTAATGAGACTAAGTTGTGTGGAATCCATCCCTCCATTAACTTTTTAACTGCTTTTTTTTACAAGTCAGGGTCACAGGAGAGCTGGCACCTATCTCTGCAAGCAACAGGCTCAAGGCAGGGTACACCCTGGACGGGACACCAGTCTTTCGCAGGACACACACAGACACAGACAATCAGCACACACTCACACCAGGGCCGGTCTTCCCAGAAGCCACTGAAACCAGCCCTGTGGGAATCCTGTGGGAAACCAGAGCACCCGGGGGGAACCCACACAAACCCAGGGAGAACGTGCAAACTCCACACGGACGGCACCCCTGGTCCAGAACTGAACCCAGGGCCCCAGTGCTGCAAGGCACCAATGCTGGCCCTCGCACCACCCTGCCACCCTTGTTCAGGATCTATTAATCAAAATATTTTATTTTAAAATATTCTAACCCTGAATTAAGCCCGTGAACTCAACCCAGACCCTGAAACTAGCTGTGCTCTTACACACCAAAGTACCTAACCGGATACTACAATTCTGTTTCATGTGGGCACAACAGCCACTATTACTCATTGTGAAGCACACAGAACAACACTTCCTTCAAACTAGGCCAAGCATGAGGAAGGTATGGTAGCTGGAAAGCCCGAGATGTGTTTGTCAGAGGAAACCTGAGCCCACAGGACCTCACTGCACTTCTTAACTACTGAGAGAGCTCACAGCTACGAGGAAACAATGCCAAATTCACTGAAAAAGCCAAACTGCTGGCGGGGTAGGACAAACCACATCACCTTTCAGAATGCAGCCCGATTCGGTCACAGAAGCACGTAGCGACTGAGTGAATGGCTTCTCGTCTCCTAGCAGAAGTAAGGTGTGTTATGAAACATATTTCCAGAGTTCCACAGGATAAGGCCTCTCATACTAGGAATAATACCAGTCCTATACAATCCTACCGCCTGGAGATGATGCAAAAGAAGAATTCCTGTTATGTTTGGAATTGAAATCGCAGCAGCCCTCACCAGGAAGAGCAGACCGAAAATGGATAGATAACCTTTGACACCCAGTTCCAGATCTGCCTGGTGCTTTCTATTTGTACCAGCAGTGTCCAGCGCAGGTCCTGGACAGCCTAGAGTCTTCCAGCTTGTGTTGCCACCTGAGCTGTCAATTGAACAATTAACCTCTTTACTTTCTTGAATTTGTAGGACTTTTCATAAGATTGTTTACACATGACTGCTCAAATAATTGAGTATGAGACCGCTGGACTGGGGATCCCTGGGACCAGGGCTGGTGACCCCTGGACAGACTGGACTGGGGCTCCCCTGGGACCAGGGCTGGTGACCCCTGGACTGACTGGACTGGGGCTCCCCGGGA